CACCACCAAATTATCACCACTTTCATCGCACAAAGGTTTAAAATCCACTTTTTCAAGTTACTCATTGATCCAGTTTAAATGGTATCGGTGATTGTTTAGTTCCAATTCGTTGAGTTCCAATCCATTGCGGCCCAATGTATGAAAAAAAGGCAAGGACGTTCCGAAGTCTTGACCTATTCCTCTTCCATCTGCGATGTGCCCTTATCCTAATGGCCAGGGCTCTGCATTCAAACCTTCCGACTTAATATGCCCCCACATCTTCCCTTCGACCTTAGAGAATAGTGTTTGTATGATCACTCGGGCTCAAGGGATTGAGCTCCTATTATTTTTAGTCTCTTTCCCCTTAGTGAGGCCCAGCTGGTTAGGAAATGAATTGGAGATTCCTGATATGGAAATGGAAATGAAAAAACACATACAACAGGTAATATGCAATACCAAATAATTTTGATTTCTGAATCATCTGCAGGTTCACCGCTAGACTGGAACGCTTTTATAGTTTTCAGAACCATGTGCAGGCAAGAGCATCTCTGTGATGGTCGTGCTTTGTGAATATTCATTTTTGTTTTGGTTAAAATAGAGATAAATACATTGATGAACCTGTAAACTCCTCAAAACAATCCATATAATGCTTAAATGATACCCTGGGGCGAAGTGTTTATGGTGCCTTAAAAATATTTTCAGTCTCTCTGCCAGTACTCGGTACTCAGTACCCAGTACTTAGTCATAGATCGAATAATGCAAAAGTAAAAGGTTCTGATTGTTTCTACATGACTGCTTAGTTTAAATTTTAAAAAAGTTGCATGTTGGTTAAAATTAATTTTTTCTTCCAAGTGAACGACTTGCCATTAAATTTAACATATAGAGGAAATATCTATCTCAGGAGAGTTTGATTTAAGTTATTTTCCTTTACACCATTTTATGAGCTGCAGCTCGCTCTTCAGCATACTTTCTGCTATTCTAAAGACAATCTATCAGCGGGTACCCAGACGAGCAGCATTCCTGAGCTCAGCCTGAAGTGTTGTCTTAGTAATTCATCCAACTTTGCCCATTTTATCCAAATGCTTTGACAAAATGTGGAAACATTTGGCTTCTTTACATTCACACGCTATATAATACTGATTTGAAAACTCTACTTCGCTCGTTTCACCCCTGACATTACCTGGTAATCCATGACCGGCAAAGAAATGTTGAAATTATAGCTAGCTGAAATTTTGAAACTTTACAATACAATTACGTATTCGGTGAAATGTTCCATTAAATGTTTCAGCGGCACCCTCGTATACTAGCTCCATTAAATTTAATTCCTTTCAATTTAATTGGGTCACACCGTTAAAGAATGACGACCCCAAAAAGGATGGCCCGTTTTTCCCGAAAGTAGGCTATTGTTGTTGCGTTTTGCTACTAATTGGAAAACCCATTTCAAAGAAATAGGATTCCCTAAGCTGAGCCGTTTCTTGAAAGAAAGTTAACGAAAAATATCCCATGAGAGTTTTAATTAGGCGTCATAATTCACATCGTTCTTACTAGTTGTTAATTATGTCAAACGGCTAGCTTGTATCCTTTGTTGTTTGAGAAAACTTTTCACAACGAGATTTGCCAATTTTAATGATAAAATATTCTAAAGAACCTTCGGTTCTGTGCAATTGCATTTTGAGTTATTTACGAAGAGTTGCTGACAGTCTTGAAAACCTACAGGCCCTGATGGACAAAATTACCCAGCGCAGCAGTCAATACGGTCTTGAAGTTAACGTAAATAAGACCAAACTTATGATAATCAGCAAAGAAAAATAACAGGAAGTCATCTAATTATAAACCAAGCTGCTATCGAAAGAGTGGATCACTACAAATATCTGGGAACCATCATTAATGAGGACTGGAATAACGCACATTAAATAAAAGCACGCGTTGGAAAAGCCAGATCAATCTTTAACCACATGGGTGCATTTTTCAAAAGTCATAACCTCACCCTTGACACTTTATGGTGCAGAATCCTGGACGCTCAACGAAACCACGGCCAAAAAACTGAACGCTTTCGAGATATGGCTGTACAGGAGAATGCTAAAAATCCCCCTGACGGCAAGAGTAACGAATAGGGAAGTTCTGAGAACAATGAAAAAAGACCTGGAACTAACGAACACAATTAAAACCCGCAAATTAGAATACCTAGGTCACATCATGCGGAATGAAGAAAGATACGGTCTGCTGCAGACAATCCTGCAAGGAAAAATCCTTGGACGAAGAGGACCAGGGAGACGCAGGATATCGTGGCTTAAAAATCTCAGGACCTGGTTCAACAAAACATCCACGCAACTATTCCGAATTGCGGCAGACAAAGTCCGGATCGCTATGATGATCGCCAACATTCGCAAGGGATAGACACCCTAAGAAGAAGAAGAGATACTACTCCGATGACAACTTAATTTTCCTTTACGAATTCCAACAAGCAAGCTTTCTTAAGTTTACCAACCAATTTAGGTTTATATTAGTTGGATTTTACTTATTATGGCAATACCATTTAAACGGTTTTATGTGAAATTTATTTGCAGTACCCTTCTCGATGTTCCGGGTTCATCAAGAAATATATATTCGGCAGATATTCCGCCGCATTTATGGGATACTCCTCCCGTTTTGTATCCTTTTCTTTATGTAGATCAATATATTTTTACGAAGTGCTTCGCTCTGTTGCCAAAAACCTTTTAGGCTGAAATGGGATAACAAATTGTTTAGACAAATGACGATGAGACAACAGAAAGACACGGTTTCATGGGGTTCGAATTGATTTATAAAATCCGACAGCCGACAACAAAATTGCCATTTGTCTAGACTCAGAGCCGGAACTGAAACGAAAATATGCGAGCATGGTGAGAGTTTAATGGCGTTATTGAATATCGTCTTAATTCACACCGATTTAATATTATTACAAAACGTACCTGGATATATCGCAATGCTTTTAGTCGGAAATGAAATTTGTACGCTATATCGGTATGAATCGAGTTCGATAAAAATTGGAAGCACGTTTTCGTGGCTATTACTAATAATTTTATGGTATGGACATTCTAGCATTCGAGTGTCGATGCCATAAATTGCGCTTGGTTCAAATAGGCAAAGGATAAATTATATTTCAAAAAGCAGATTACATCGGGATACGCCTCTATATATAAATTATAATAGTTTATATTAAGTCTTGACTAGAATGTTTATTTTCAACCAACTTCAGAGAATTTGTGCTTTATGGGTTGCTATTCAGCACATTGTGGGTATATCAAAAGCTATTTCCCTATTTTAGTAGATGAATATCGATAACACTTTCAAAAAGGATTCCAGAACAACGGTTTGCAATAACCATCAGCCATTCTCTTTCAATAAATTTTAACATTTAAATTTAAAATCTCTTTTTATACTCCACTGGCATCGTAATATTCACATTGTTTACCCTCCACAGACCAGTGTTTTGTTACACTATTAGACAAAGTTTGTTATTTTGATACGTCAATAAATTACAAAATATATATATATATATATATATATATATATATATATATATATATATATATATATATATATATTTTACCATGTTACTTTAACACTAGGATTAATACTAATATTTTTTTTATTTTATTTTTTAATTTAACTCTTAGAATGGTATATTATGCTACAAGTTGATAATCGGCACTTTAGTCACATTGGCACGAGCTAGTGTTTAATAAAACAGTGACTGAAGAAATTCATCAACGTGTTTCATACTTGAACAATGAAATAGTGACATGCGTTGATTAACTTTTATCAAAAAATGATGTTTAAGAACATAATGTTAGTGTCTGTCGTAATGTTTAAGTAATATGGTATATTTTATAATTTTTTTATAATTTGTTAACTTATCGAAATATCAAGCTTCTAATTTCTTTCAATGTGTTATGTAAAATATAAAATATATAAAGTATATAGTGGTACAATCTAATAATAATATTAATGATCTCTTCATTCAGACGGTAAATTTTACATCTCCTTAAATAAGCAACAGCTGTTATTTCTGCTGTTTTATTACTTAAATTGTCAAATTCATTTCTCAACTGAATCTCTCCTAGAAAAAATAAAGAATTAATCTTTGACTTCACCAAGAAAATATCACCCGCAATATCATATTAATATATTTAATTTATACATAATTAAGAATAATAATCAGGAAATCGTAAAAATAAATTGAAAATATTTTTTTCTACTCTCATCAGTAAAATACCTAATTACCCACCGATCGAGCGTGCGAGAATCGTCACTTAACCATGTCAGTTTCGTTTCCCATGAATCCCAGCCACTTCGGACATTTCCGGGGTTTTACCGCTCGGGTTTGGGAGCAATCGGATGTTTTTGGAGATATTTCCCACGCTTTGAATTTTGACGTTTGTCAATTCTGACAGTCATGTCAGTATTCGTGTTTTGCGAAAATGTACCCAAAAACTGACGGTCGTAGAAAAGGTATAGTATGCAACACGTTCGGTAAACATTTTAACTCACTCGTTTCCGCTCGTGTCAAATAAACTTGTGAGTCAAATGCCATTTACCGCACTTATTGCATAATATAATATTTTCTACTTTCTTCTGTAAAATACCTAATTATACACCGATCTAGCGTGCGAGAAGCGTCACTTTACCACGTGAGCCGAGTCACTCGGACATTTTCGAAATAGTACGGGTTTGGAAGCAATCGGATGTTTTCGGAGATTTTACCGCACGAATTGAATTTTGATCTTTGTCAATTCCGACGGCCAGTGAATGTTGAACAATCTCCTGACTCACATACCGTTTAATGCAGTTGTTGCATAATATAGGGTTTCTTGAAGATCAGGGCTAGGAAATTTTTGGCTTCATAGTTACTTGTATTTGAAAAGCTCCAATATTGTGTTTTTTAAATCCTAGATCGTATATTTTTTAGTAAATTGCAGAGATTGATCCGAACATTATCATTAAAAAAAATAGAGTTATACATAGTTCTTTTGTTTCAGGTTTGTTACGCGATATGCCACATGATGGGCATGTCTTCGGCGTGTTCGAATCCGATCCTGTACGGCTGCCTCAACGAAAACTTCTGGAAAGAATTCAAGGACATTTTATGCATCGAAACGAGAACGGACAACGACAACGTCGCTGGAAATTTTCAGCGCATGTCGGTGCGAAAAAAATCGCACAGGACGAGACCAGACCTGCCGACCGCGGCCACCGACTACCAACCTTGTAACACAGTAAGCACCGACATGACAGTGTTGACAAAATGCTAGCTGTTAAGGAACATCGCGGCTCGCAACCATTGTGCCGCTGTAAATAGGAATAACGTTATTATTAATTCGATTGTTTAAAAACTGATGGGTGGTGCCAAGAAGTTTGTACAAAAATTTGCGACTGTGGTACTCTAGCTTTAACGTCCGGCAACAGATACACGCGAGTGGGTTGTGCTGGTGAACAAGAACTATTTTGCGAGTGCAAGCGTTAGATGTAAATACGGCAATTGCATACGTTTTTAATGACTGTAACATAATCCGACGAAGTTAGAAGTTCCTTGGAGCAAAACACATACCATTATGGTCCATTAATCGATCGTATACTAGATCATTGATGCTAATCCAATCGATTCTCAAATTTCCTTGCACTGGACGCCGCGATAGCTTGTATTAGATATGCGGTATATCCCCACCACTGGGACACTGTGCAGTTTAGAAGTGTCATTGTAACTCGTTAATTTATCTACTTCCGTGTACTACCAACTCTTACAATTTTTGCACATACTTCTTCTTCTTCTTCATCTACTTCCACCCCATTTATAAGGCTACTTGAACTTTAGCAGCTGCTTCTTAGAATAATTCCCCCTGATGTTTTTTTTTCAGATCATATTCTTAACTGCATCATGAATCTCTTGATCCAGGGCCCCTATTGTTCCTAAATTTGCTTTGAATTATCAGTTGTAAAGTACTCAAGTTATCATTTTTCGATGGTATGCAGAAGTTCTCTTTGCAACATGTGCGACATGCGTCGATAGGTCCGTAGCTCAAAGGCGCTGAAGAACACTCCTTTTGAGTGTGATGTTGGAGCTACGACTACAAACAACATTCAACTTCTTAAACCATTCCTGGCTGTTCAATGCTATATCTCTTCATTTCGAACTCTTATTGATGTTTGAATATACAGTTTCGTTTAATTTTTATATATTTTGTTTATTGGATGATTAATTCTAGATCATATACCTAGCTTGCTAGTTAATTATGATTAATCAATTAAGCAGATCTTCTAGGGGTTTTGCCAATAGCGTTCACCCTATGTTATTGATGAAGATTCCGTTGATATTAATCTACAATTGATTGATTAATAATTGGTGCTCTCCAAAGCCTGGTTAAGCGTCTGTAAGTCTGTAAATCTGCTGCGTCTAGCGTCTATTTGCTGTTTGGTCCCAATAAAAAATTGTTATTATATTCCCCGTGATGAGTTTAGTATTTACGTCATTTCACGTTTTCGATATATTCTGCAATGTATTATTGAGAATCAATTTTGGGGACTTACTTACTTACTTACCGTTGCAATAACAGTGTTCTACATTTCGAATAATCTGCTAAGATGGTGGTGTGTTCGTCATCGTATTAGCTTAGCTCGATTGGAATATCATCGGATCTGATACTGTTTCTTTTGTTTTACTTTTTTTAGTTGCATGTGCAACTTCAGTTTTGGTGATTAGAGAGGCCGCCTGACTATTATTTTCATTTTTATTTGGAATTATTGCATGATCTTTAAGTAAGAGTTTTTCAATGAGAAAGAGGACATTCTAAAGTGCGCTAAAAATTGGAACAATAGAATACGCGCTGCTATGTTATTTAGACTTTGTCACATCCGTTTTTGGAATTAGACAAGAATGGTGGGTGGTTCTCCATTGGGTTTCGACTTCGTCGCTGTAAAGGTGTCAAGTCAAGATTTTATAAACGTTGTTAAGTCTTAAAGTCGACTCCGTGTTCCAAGTAAAACCATTTTTCAATTATCTGTATAAAAATTTGGGTACGTGTGATCGATTTTAAAATTTGTCTAAACTTAAGCTATTTCGAGTATTGTGTATATTATGATGGTGCGCTGTTTATATTTTATTGGGATCGATGTTCAACAAAAGGAAAAATTTAATAATAAAAAGTTAAGAAAAATTTCGTCTTTCAATTGTCAATTGTCAGAAATGGTCCTGCTTTATATCGTTATTTTACCGCAGAATTTATTTAAACACGCTCCGTCATTAAATCAAATCGAATATAAAATCGTCCATTCGACAGTAATTACCAATCCTTTCAAATTAAATAAATTAATAGGCCGTTTTCTAATTGTTCCCAATCGACGTACGTTATTACTTTGATTCTATTGACGATGACTACGTCTAAAAGTTTTGATTATATTTAACTTCAACTTTGTGAGTTTACTGCGGAATGAAAATTCCGTATTAATTAGAATTCCTAACCGTCTAGCTCCCCAATTAAAATAAACTGCTTAATTAAAGATGATTAATTAATAGATCCTATTATTAAGGAAGTCGATTTTTGTTGATTTTTCGTCAGGAAAACTTTAATTAGGTAACTTGGACGAGTAAATTTGGTTTTTAAAATTTAACTTCTTTCATTCATATTCATTCCACAAGTTGAGCGGGTTAGTAATTTTTAACTAATTGAGTTTGCAATTTCAACCGATAATTTTTTGGTATTTTCATTGGAAAACATGTAAAGGTAAGTGTTGTAAACGGCTTGCGTTAAATCTCATACTATTTATCCTTGCCACTTTTCTCGAAAGTTTTTACACGAAAGGGTGGTAAAAGTAGGTTTTATCATCACTGGCACCTGCACCAAGCGCCTGCACGTGCGAGTTTTCCAGTAAATCACCACAAACTTTTGTTTGCTTTCAGCATTTTCTATACAAATATGCAAAAAGTTGCTTCCTTAACGTTTACGCTGGAAAAAAAATAGAAGTTTTTATTGCCTTATCGATCATTTTTGCAAACATAAATAATCATTCATTGAGTAGGATGTGTTTCTATTTTTTGATTTTGATAGTTTTTTGATTTTGAATGAACAAATCTAATAAAAGATGTTAACAACAATTCAACATTCGAATCAAGTTGCGAAAATAGAAACATATAGAATTCTCTATTGACTGTCAAATTATCAACAAGAGTTCTAAATATGAATATCACTTGAAAATGATATTTCAATATAAGCTGAAAGTATCGGCTGTCTGCAGAAACAAATGTACATTTTATAGTTTTTAGTTAGCTTTGCTTAGTTAGCAAATTATTTGTTTCATGCAGTATAAACATTATACAAGGTGATTCAAAAATATGAGTCAACTCTCAGCTGCCGATTCGTCATCAAAAAAAGGGAAAAATTTTTATATAAAAGTGCGCCACTGACTCTGTTGCAATTTTCGTTATTTGTTTTGAATCAGTTCTTTTAGCTCTTTAGTTGTTTTCGTATCTTGCCTCATTTTTAAGCAAAAAAAAACATTAAAATTGACAAAAACAAAAACAAAAATTTATATACCCTCTATATACACAATAAATTTAGTGCTAAAGAATTGACACTAATATGATGAAAATGGCCACCATCAGCTTCCTTGCAAGCATGTGGGCTACGGCGCAAAGGTTTTCACACAACTTTTTTTATGGTTGTTTATCCCGGAAGCTAAGAAATTAAGATTTTATTGTAATTTTTGTAGTACATATAAAAATATTTTCAACTTTTTTGGCCTCCATCTTCCTCATTCCTTATTCACTAATACTCAATGGTTATATTCTACTACGACTAAAATTTTTTGTGACCAAAAAGAATTCCTGTTCTACAAAATGTAATATAATGTAATTGGAATTATTATTATTAACGTAATTGTTAACAAAAACCAGTTGTAGTTTTAAAAAAAATTAGAGAGATGTAAAATAAATGTAAATTTAATTAACAATAACGATTTAAAAGCGATTAACTGTCCTAAAGTAATTAAACCTTTATGACGGATCAACGGGGTACCAGCATCGATCACAGACAGCATCTGGCTTACCGGCATTACCAGGAACTATGATTGGCCTGGAATATTCACTTTTAAAAGAGCTCTTATTTTATTATGTGGAATTTTACATAGTATATTATGCAACAGGTGTGGAAAACGGCATTCGAGTCACGGGTTTATTTGACACGAGCGGAGCGAGTTTTTAATAAACGAATTCAAAATTCAACCCGTGCGTGCGGTAATATATCCGAAAACATCCGATCGCTTCCAAATCCGTGCGGTATTATCTTAAATACTTCGGCACATTTCCGGGATATTGCTACACGGATTTGGGCGCAATGGTATGTTTTCGGAGATTTGACCGCAAGGCTTGAATTTTGACGTTTCTCAATTCTGAGTTTTGCAAAAATGTCAAATGCGATATAAAGTAGTAGCTCAAATACCGTTTACGACATTTGTTGAATTTAATAAATTTCAAGAAAGATGACGATTACGTCATAAGAAAATGCTTGGTGTCATTGCTAACGTAATCGTCATCTTGCCTGAATATTATTATAATATAATATTTCCCAGTCCCTACTGTGCAGAAAGTGTCACTTTAAAACATCATCGACATATTTTCTGCTCACTGGATGCATGGTATATTGACATTTGTTAATTCTAGTAAACACGTCACATGTCACTCGGTGAAGTTTTGCATAAATGTACGCATAAACTAATGTGACATTAATTTTTTTCTTCGGAATTGGTATAATATCTCGATAAGCACGATCTAGATTCATTTTTCGAAATGAATTTTAAATATGTCAATATTTAATTTTTACAGTTTTCTCAGTATATTACTAAACTTGCAGGAGGAATTAGAGCAAATTATCATTTATTGCAATTACAAGAAAATGATCAACAAATTGCAGTGTATTTTCAGTTTACACGGAAACATTAAAGATAACTTATTGCAAAATAATCTTTGCAAAATTGCTGTGGCCTTGTAAAGCACGCTTAACTTTATTAGTCTATTAGTTAATGGTGCAATAAGAAATCCGATCTTACTTTCTGGACTAACGTTATTCTCTCTCTCAAAGGATTCGGTTTTTAATATTTTTATGTAACTCGCTAACAATATCCTAAAAGCCAAAAAACTAACATCAAAGCGTCGACCACACACACGTATCTGCGTTACCATGCAAATAACGTACGCCATATATCGGGTCTTTTGGTCGACCTCGTTTAAATAAGTGATAGTTGAAAGAACTTTTATTTGTTCCGCTTCGAGAAGATTTCTAGGTGTGTCGTCATTCATCCGCTTAAAGTCCGACCCGTGTCGCGTTGATGTTTGACAAAATGATCGTGTGGATTTTTGAAAGACATTTTACCGTTTTAATTTATGCCAATTTTGGTCGCTTTTATCCGATCGAGCTCCAAAATTGAAATATTTTATTTATTTCGGTCGCACGCGATGTTATCGAGCGTGAAGTTTACCGCTTGGTTTGGAAAAAGTGGATTTTTGCTTTAGATTTAATTTCTGACTCGGAATTTGAGTTGGGTTCGGGCGAGGTTTCAAAGAAAGTCGGGCGTTTCATATGAAATAAATATGCGGTCGTTGATACGGCGATTACAATGGAATGGGTATTAAATTTTTCTGGAAAAAAATTTGTTATTCGAAATTATTACCTACCGATACCGCTCCTAAATAATTTTGAGAATATATTGTATTTCTAAAAATAAATGTCGGAAAATGTTTGAAATGCAACTTTGAGTTGTTACTATTAGTTATATGGTTTTTTAAAATTCGTTTACTATTTTTAACTATTCAATCTTTGCGTTATTTGAAGTGAAGTGGCTTTTATTTGATGAAAACCCATTTAACAAAACAAATAAGAACTAAAAGTTCAGATTTTCACGAAATTATATATTATGACATGACAATTGTTTCTTTATCAAATTTTATAACAGGTTCATAAACTTAACAGACAAAACATTTTCTAAAAATGCTAAAAACTTTGACTTACAGCACTCGAATATTAATAGAGAATTAGACTGTTTACGGATCGACTGTGAATTAGCAATTAAGGACATTCAAGATTCTAAGTTAAACAAACATGTATTAGCGAATATAATAAATTCTTAATTAATAGATAACAACAAACACCAAGAAATTTCTCAATTGTCACTAGTAAAAACTATCAAAAACAAAAACATTCATAGGTATCGATCTCCCAGAATATATTTCAAAAACCAACAATTTTCTTAAACCACAACTTTTCCAATGTATCAGCCACGATCCGAGTTATATCAAAGACAAGTCAAGGAAGTAATTACTAACTCCACACTATTTAGTATCAAAGACACAATTATGAATCCACATCGCCAAAATTATATTCTTTAGTTAAATTACGTAAACAAGATATTGAACTGAGGTGGCTTTTATTTGATGAAAACACATTTAACAAAATAAATTAGAACTAAAAATTCAGATTTTCACGAAATTATATATATTCACATGACAATTGTTTCGACAACGCCGGGTCTTTATCAAATGTAATATACCTTCACATACATAACAGCTCAAATTATCCCAATACACACAAAATGGCTGCATTTTATACACATACTTCATTCTCGACAGAAAATTACAACAAAGAACTTAATGTAATTAAACAAATTTTACTGAACAACGGCTAAATTATAAATAAAAAACAAATCCAGACAACAGTAAACTCTATTTATCCGAAACCTAACAGAACACGAACAATTTAAAACAATTACATACATGGGAGAACCCAGTGAAAAACTTTCAAAACATTAGGAAATACAATAGGAAAATCTTTAAAAAACATTAAAACGAAGTGTCCAAAATCTCAAAAATCAGGTGTCTACAGGTTGAAATGCGGATCTTTTCCTAAAATTTATATTGGACAAACAGGTAGAACCTTCAAGAAACGCATTAACGAACATGAAAGAGCGTTTAAAAACATTAGTATAGATTCTAATTATGCTACATACTCGAAACACAGAAAAACACATTTTTGACGACGATTTTAATATTTGAGATACAGCCACAAAAAGTAAGAAATTAAATTTATTGGAACGACCAATTAGATTAAACTTACATTCTCAC